CTGTGTGAGCTGTGAGCACTGTGTGAGCTGTGAGCACTGAGTGAGCTCTGTGTGAACGGTCTGTGCGCAAACACTGTGTTGTGTGAGCACTGTACGTGAGTGCTGTGTGTGAACCGTGGGTGAGTTCTGTGTTGGAGCGCTGTCAATTCACTGTGTTGTCCTCAGTACTGTCAGTGCTGAAGTAACAAGCTGGTAACCCCTCGTGGTTCTATGGCATTTAACAGACACCACTCGGGTGTAGAGCCCTCAGGACAGGAGAAGGACTTGCAAGGAGCAGTGGGCAGGCGCACACAGCTACCTGCTGCCATCTCTAGCTCCAGACAGTCCCTGGGGTCAAGGGGTCAGCTGCCTGTTCCTCACCTCCCTGGCTTGGTGACGCCACTGTCTCCTGGCAGCTCAATGGCCTCAATGGCCTCTTCCAAGTGAAGCAGAATCACTACAGGCAAGAGGAGGTCATCAGGGCAGGCCCCAGCCAGCAGTGCAGGCAGGCTAGGCTCCCAGGAGTCCTTTGCTGGACCCCAGCACCCGGCCCAGGCAAGAGGCAGGGGTGGCACTCACTCTTCAGCTTCGCGATGTCCTCCAGCTCCATGTTCAGCCCTGGGCCAGAAAGAGCAGATGTGTAGTAGTGATCACTCTGTCCCAACAGCCCCAATGCTTGAGACCCAGGGTTCTCGGTGTGGGAGGAAGGGGACACGGAGTGAAAGAGACATTTGTAGATACCGTCTCTGACTCATGGCAACCTCGTGGCAACCATTATGGACTGAATTGTGTTCCCAAAGAATACTTGTCGTAAATCCTAACTCCTATACCTGTGGATATAATCCCATTTGGAAATGGTTTTCCTTGTTATGTTAATCAGGCCATATGGACGTAGGGTGTGTCTCAAATCCACTTCTTTTGAGATATAAAGAGAGCAGATTGATGAAGCAAGAGAAGCAAGCAGAGATAGGGGAAGATAGATGCCAAGCCACATGGAGATCACTAAGGAACAAATTTTCTCAGTTTAGGAGGCTAAATGTCTGAAATCAGGAACAGAAGCTGAAAAGAGCCAAGTACCTTACCCCAGAGCCGACAGAGAAAGAAAGCCTTCCCCTAGAGCCGGCACCCTGAATTCGGACTGCTAGCCTCCTAAACTGTGAGAAGATAAATGTGTTTGTTAAAGCCACCCACCTGTGGTTTTTCTGTTACAGCAGCACTAGGGAGCTAAGACTGTGGCCTTATGTACAACAGAACTAAACGTTGCCTAGTCCTGCGCTATCCTCCCGATCGTTGCTGTTTGAGTCCACTGTTGGAGCCACTGCGTCAATCCATCCGTCTCCCTCTTTTTCACTGACCCTTTACTTTACCAAGCATGATTTCCTCTCCAGCAACTGGTCCCTCCTGATAATGTGTCCAAAGTAAGCGAGACAAAGTCGCACCATTCTCACTTCTAACTATTTTAAAATTCTTCTGTTTTAAGGTCTAACACAGTAACTATCAGTACATATTTCCCGCGCGAACAAGGGCACTCTAAGCAGGCAGAGACAGCCTGGAGCCAGCAGCTCGGAGAGGCACTACGCCAAGCAGAGAAACACCAAGCCTACAAGCCCTGGCCACACACAGGCGGTGGAGGTACTCAGCGTGGTCAGGACACCACACAGCAGCAGGAGCAGCTGCCCAGGAGAGCAGGGTCAAGACTGGCTGTGATGTGTGAAGGACGTGAGAGAAGCTGACGCCGTTCACGCCCTGGTGATCACACATCCAAGTCAATGATCCGGCAGAAGAAAACGGTCGGACATCTGAAGACGTCCAAACGGCTTTAGCTGTCACAGTGAACCACCTGCAACAACTGAAGTCAAGCCTTCCACTGACGAGCGGGTGCGGCTGAGCAGACACGAGTCTCCTGTCAGCCACGAACAAAGACTACGTAACGGAGAGATGGAGCCAGACCCGTGAAAGCTTTCTACGAGTCCCATAACTACCACCGCAAAAACAGCCTACAAACAACGGAGAGAAATCCAGGAAAATCGGAAGTTATGGACGGACGACAGATTAGTAGGCTATTTACAAAATACCTTTAAGGTCAGCATGTTTGGTGTTTCAATTTTAAAAAGTATAGGGCAGATCAATCCAGCTGGGAACCCACCAGCTGACAAGGGAGTAAAGGCCTCTGGGAAGTGCTGAAATGATGGAACAGCAGCCCCTCCCTGATCTGTGGGGCCTCCCCGTGGCAGTGAACTCACCCGAGCCAGCCAGGCCCACGTCAGGCTCCAGGTAGAGTTCACGCTGCTGCGCGGCCTTGGTCTGCTCCTCCAGAACCTGGTCTATGACGTCCAGTCCAGAAGCCAAGTCGTGGGGGGTCAGGTCGAAGGATGCAGACTCCTCACACATCTTCTCCTGAGAGCCCACAGACCCCTGCGTCATGGCACCGATGGGGCAGGTACTCGGAGATTCCAGAAGCAGGGACTGGACACGGCCGGTCAAGAAAGCCGAGAGCCCCCGTCCCCAGAGCCACGTCTTGACAGCTTCTAAAGCCGGGGCACTCACTTGCCAGCCATAGGGCTCACTGCCCCAAAGACGTGCTCCGTCAGGCCCACATCAGTGTTTAAAAATTATTTTGAGTTGCCAACCTTCCATAATTGGAAACTTCCCATTAAAATCTAGATTTCTGACTTTTCTCAAAAATTGGAAGACCTGGAATGTGGGGCCCGCCATCCTCCATGGCAGCATGGGCTGGAACAGCAGGGGCTGCCCCCATCAATGGCTGCCAGTCCCAGGTTGCCGGCCCTGTGGCAGAGAGCCCTGCGGCCCCCCAGTGCCTCCATCACAGGAGCTGGGGAGCTGGAGGAAGTGTGGGTGGTGACGGAGGACCCTCCCCAGGCCCCTGCCTGCCCTGAGGGGAGGAGCCTATTACAGCCAGGCCAGAGTGGGTGGGCCAGCGCCTAGAAGCTGCTTTCGTGGGTGGGTTGCCAAAGGGCAGACAGGAGACAGGATGCTGCTGGAGCCACAGGAGGGATGCTGCGCCTGTCAGTGCCCTAGGACGGGGTCAGGACCGGGCTGACACCCACTAGCCAGAAGGAACGGGGTCCGTTCGGTGGCTTGTGTGTGGTAACGGGGCCAGCACGTGGACCTCTGGCCCAGGAGGAAGCAGTCATACGGTGGAGACTGTCTTACAGGAGGAAGTGCAGGACAGCAGAGGCACCCAGGTCCCCGCGTCCTCCAGCCCAGGGCCTCAGGGCCGGGGCAAGGCTCTTCCAGAAAGGTCGGGCACACCTTCACAAAGAAGCTGAGAACGACGGACCAGACTTACCACATTGTGAGCTTCGTCAAAGATCACCACCGTCCCCTTCAGGTCAATGCCGTGTGTCCTGCGGCTCTATGTGGACAGGAAGGAGGGGGCTGAAGCCTGGCAGGCAGAGGTATCACCCCCTCATGGAAGGGAAGAGGACACTGAGGGGAAACATAGGCACCACCCCCCTCACAGGAGGGAGACAGAGAAACCGAAGCATCCCACCCCCCATACACACAGGAGGCCCCCTGGGGGTGTGGAAACTGAGGCACTGCCGAGGCTCCCAGCTGCTCCACACCCCCGCTCACCACCTGGCATCTAGGTCTGTCTAAGGCAGCCACACAGACAGGCATGGACAGCTATCTCCCTGTGGCTGTAACCTGTGTTTGCTGGGACTGACGGCTCAGCTCTTCCCCCGCGTAACCGGCATCAGCCACAGCGTGCAAGCCCTTCACACCCTGGGCATCTGTCCTTCAAAGACACACGTGCCAGCGGCAGCACGTTCCTTCCTGTGACCCTTCCTCCAATTTCCTGAATTTCCCTCTCTCTCTCCAAGAGGTCAACTGTAACGTTTTAATCACGCCCAATGTATTGATTTTTTTCCTTATAGTTAGTGCCTTGAGGGTCCTAGCTGAGAAAACTTTGCCCACCCCACGGTTGCAAAGGTTCCCGCATGTTCTCTTTGAGAAACACTACAGCTTTAGCTTTTGCAGTTAGGTCTACAGAGCATAAGGGCTGAGGTTTATTTCTTCCAAACAGATATCCAGCTATGCCAGCACCGTTTTTCTTAAGACTTGCCTTGCCCCACAGAATGACCGTGCCATGTCTGTCAAAAGCCATTCGCCACGCGTGCATAGGTCCACTGGGTACACTGTCCCCCCACCCTCCCCGGGACCCTGCCATCCTGAAGGCTGTCACCCCACAGCGAGGATTCAGGGTGGGGAGCCCTCCAACGTGGCTCTCTCAAAGTGGCCTTGATCTTCCAGACCTTTTGCATTTCCACATCAACTTCAGAACAAGCTCATAGATTCTACAATGCAATTGTTCTGGGCCGGGCCCAGGCTCGGGTGTTTCTGAACCTCTCGGTGGTTCTCATGGACATCTGGGTTAAAAGCAGCAGCGAACCCTGTCACTCAACGGCCTGAATTTGACCACGGCTCTCCACCACCATGGCTTCCCTCCCTGGCTGTGACCACCATCTAGCCCTCTGCCCTCACCGCGACCCTCCTCCCGTCCACTCTGCACCAGGCTTCTCTTTCCTGACCCTTCAGATGGTCAAGCATTCGCTGCCCTGGTGGGTGAGTGCCACTGCTGCCCCAGACTCCAAGACCCCTCCTAGAGTGTCACCCCAACAGAGGCCCCCTAAGAGCGCTCCAACCCCAGGCGGCTCTGCTCCATTCTCCTTCACTGACTTGTGTGCTTGATAACTGCCTGTTGTCCCACCAGAGTCCTCACCCCCACAGCCTGTCCACCGTGAGAGGTTGCACGATGACCTACGGCCCAGGCTGTCCACAGCTGTGCAGCCAGCTCCAGACCCCTGCTCACCCTGAGCCAGGCAGAGGCTCCAGAGGCATCCTGAGCCCAGAGACACCCTCTGCAATAGCAGAACTGCCCGCACACAGGCCGAGCCCTCACCTTGGGGTCCAACAAGTAATTGTACGGCATAAAGATGATGTCGGCTTGCTGCTTCAGGTTCCGAGAGAGGTAATACGGGCAAACCCTGGGGATGCGGGCAGAGAGAGAAGGTATGCTAAGGCCACAGCCAGGCCATGGGGCAAAAAGGAGTGAGACAGGGCGGGCATGCCAGGCTGAGGCCACGACAAAGCAGCTGCCTGGATGTGGCCCGGCCGCCCATCCACAGCTAAAAAGCCGCCGGGCAACCACAGGCCGGGGGCGGGGCTCGGGGGACAGAGGGAGCAGTCCTGTATCTTGAATATCAACCATGTAACGTGTCACCTATTTCTAACATCTACAAAACCATAAAACCCAACCCGCCTCCAGACACACTAATGAGGTGATCGGGGGGAGAAAAGCACTGGAGAAGGTGCAGACGTTTTTCCCCTTGATGTGAAAAGGTCTTTCTTATCGTGATTTGAATCCCCAAAGCCATAAAAAAGTGACTGGCTGTCCTCAGAGAATGAGGCCAGGCTACGAGCACCAAGGGGGACATGAAAAACGCAAATTGTAGAGCAGGAAGCACACCACCTCCTTGTGCTGAAACAAAGCTTTGTGTTTCTTCAACGACCTGCCCCACACAGAGGACCCGCCCTGCGTGCAAGGACCCATCCCACAAGTGACTGTGGCTGCCTGGGGGTGGTGGGGGCCAGAAAGGGGGGAGTTCCATTCTTATTTACATATCTCAGAACTGCTTACATTCTTTTCTACTAAGCAGTTGCTAGTTTCATAATTTAAAAACAGAAAAAGGAAAAAGAAAGACAGCCCCCACAAGCCTCAGCACGCCCAGGAGAAATCTACCATGAAAGGTGGGGTGGCCCAAGCCCGGCCAGCCCAGGAAAAATCTACCATGAAAGGTGGGGTGGCCCAAGCCCGGCCAGCCCAGGAGAAATCTACCATGAAAGGTGGGGTGCCCCAAGCCCAGCCAGCCCAGGAGGCCCCCACACAGCGGGAGAGTAGGGCAGGGTCTCTGAGTCCAGGGATGTCCATACTTGTGACAGCTCCCACTCTTGACCAGGTCCTCAATGTCCAGGATAGGGGTGACCAGCTCCTGTTCCAGACTTTTCTCTGGGGATACAGAGTAAGTCATCACACACTCGGGGTCCTCTGCAGGGGCTCCGCACACCCCAAAATGATGTCCAGGAGTCAACATGCCCCCAAGGTCCCCAGGGGGCTCCCATCACCCTGAGGTGGTGCCCAGGACTGAGGGCCTGCGGTATGGCAAGCACTGAGTGTGGCCACCCCAAGACCTTTCCCTCGTGGCAGGAATGACATGTCCAGCCAACCGTGGACAAGACCAGAAGAAAATGACTGCCCTGTGGTCTGGGACCCAGGCAGAGCCAGCACAAGAGGGCCCCAGGAGCCTGCTCCGCACCCAGAATGGGCACCTATGACTGAGGCTGAGCGTCAGTAACAGGCCCCAACCCGGCCCCAAGAGGCCAGCACATCCTCTTCCACCCACCGTCCCAGGGCAGCACAGGAGTGGCAGGGCAGCCCCCAGCCTGCTACTGCCACCTTCATCAGACACTCAGGTGGTGACCCACATACCCTGCTGCCCAGCGGCCATGGCCACGTGTCCCACAGCAGGCTGGCAGGGAGTCAACCTCTCTTTCTCTCTCTCTTCCCCTCAATCCCTCTCTCTCTTCCTCTTTTTCTCTCTCAGCCTCCCCACCAACTAAAACACACCCAGATTCTTCTGAAGCCGGCTCAGCGCAGCCACCAAGAACAGGGATGACGACCCTCACTGCCTGCCAGGAAGAAGGGGCTGTCCCGCCTCTTCCTGGCCCCGCACATATCTCAGAACCACTTACATTTTTAAATCCTCACTAGTTGTTAGTTTCATAAATATAAAAGGAGAAAAGTGAAGAAAGCCAGCCCCAAGCCAGCACGGGCCCACAGGATCCACCTGCGGATCGCTCAAGACACAGCGACTGGTCTGTAAGGCGTGGGGAAAAGCACACTGGGGAGGGCCTGGGGGCAGGACCCAGCGTGGCCCCACGCTGAGACCAGGCCACACTCAGCCAAGTGCCTGCAGCCCCAGCAGTGCCCCACCACAGCCTGACTGCGACTGAGCTGCTGAAGCCAGTATCCCTAGGGGAGGGCGAGGGATGGGAAGAGGAGGGGCTGTCTTCAGTGGCACCATAGCAACCACAGGCCAATGGCATGCTCTGCCGAGAGGCGGAGTGCCCCACACCCAGCTGGGCAGAGGGCTGGAGGGCAGGGAAGCAGGGATGAGGAGGGAGAGGAGAGAGGAGTGAGGAAGAGAAGGGTGCGGGGGGCGGTGAGGAGCAGCAGCCATCAAGGAGAGGGGCAAGAAGGGGTGCTGGAAGGCCTCAGGCCTGCAACAGAAAAAAGGCCTTGTTTGCAACTCCTATCTCCCGGGCCTTTGCAGACCCCTCCCCGCAAAGGGCACGTCCACCCGTTCAGGGCCCAGCCAGGCAGGTTCCAGCACCATCTCTCTCTTCTAGGGCATGCCCCCTCCTGAGGTCTCTGCCCACTTCCCACCCCCACTTCCTGCCACCTGGGAGGGGAGGCTGCTGAGATACAAGGAGGACCTATGAGGAGGCAGTCTTGAGGAGCCCCCACCCCTCCCAGCAGGCCCGGCAGCCAAGGAGCCGGACACGAGCAGATGGTCTACAGAAGGATCTGTGGCCTCCGGAGTGTAGCTGGCAGCCTGGGGAGGGGACAGATGGAGGTCTGGGCTGTGGGGATAGCGATGGGGTCTGGAGCCGGGAGGTCTGCTGCAAGGCCCTCTCCAGCCAGTGCCTGCAGCCACTTCTCCCAGCCACCTGGCCACTCCTTGCTCAGGGTCACTGCAGGTGAGGGCTGGGGTGGCTCAAGGCTTCCTGGACATACTGCCAACGGGACGCCTCCCCCTTGGTCCCCTTTGCCAGGAGCATGGACAGAAGCAGGCTCAGTTCCCCTCCATCACACAAGTCCGATGTCCGGGGCTGGGCAGGCGGGTGGCAGAGGCAAGAGCGAGAGAAGGTCTCAGGCCCAACGTGGGTGACAGGGCAGAATGACTCCAACCTGGCCACTGGGAAGGGTCCAACGGTATCCCTGCCTGACACAGGATCAGCTGCCACGGGGCCATAGAAGCAAACAGCTGCCCTGTTACAGGGCTTCCTCCCCACGGACAACTGCCCAGCGGGCTTGGGCTGTCAGACACAGGGCAAGGGGTCTCCAGGGCCACCCAACCAAGACCCCAGCCAACAAAACAGTAGGGAGGAACGTGCTCCCCAGTGGGCTGTGAGGTGACGCCAGCCCTGTGCCACCCACCGCTGCAGCCAGGGAGGCCTGGGTTCTGAACCAGTTGTGAGGCAATGCTGCACTGTCTGCCCCTGCAGGGCATGACGATGCCTGGGGGCAGGACAGGCTCCCGGCAGGGGCTCCACACCAGCAGAGGCCTGCACGTGCAGGTCCTCAGCAAGCCAGAGGACACATTCAGCCAGGCCTCCAGGTGCACGGGGCCTCCAGGTGCAGGGGGCCTCCAGGTACAGGGGGCCTCCAGGTACAGGGGGCCTCCAGGTGCATGGGGCCTCCAGGTGCGGGGGGCCTCCAGGTGCACGGGCCCTCCAAGTACACGGGGCCCCCAGGTGCACATCTCAGAGCTTCCAGGCAGCATCACCTGAGCCTCCTCGCACTCGAGGTGGCAGCCCCCAGCCCTGGAGGCAGGAAGCACAGAGGACCCTCCAACCCATACAAGTTGGAGTCCCACAAGACACGGAGCCCTGATGGCAGACGTGGGATCCCCTCAGGCGCACATCATAGAAGGCTGGCTCTGCCATCACCACAGGCGGCAGGGGACTCTGGGGCAGTCACAGAGGCCTGCGCCAGCCCCGCGCTGAGCACATCCCTGTGCATGAGCAGGTCGGCACCAAGGAGAGGGAAGACAGGTCCCTACAAGCCCAGAGCAACTGGTCACGCACACCGAGCCAAATTTGTGGTGGCTGCTGTCACTCACTCTGGACTTGCTCCCACGGCACCCCAGCAACCTGTCCTGGGGTCCCCAGACCACCCCTCGCAGGTTAGATGATTTGTCAGGACTTAGCATACAATGGCTACAGCGAAAGGATGCGCTGCAGTTGGCAAAGCGGAGACCAGGCATGAGCTTCCAGGGTCCTCTCCCCGTGGAGTCCCACAGGACGCGCTTAACTCCCCAGCAACAAGTGTGACAACACGTGGGCAATGCTGTCCACCAGGGAGGCTCGTTAGAGACCCAGAGTTCCTACTGGGGGCTGGTCACAGGCACCTCTGCCTAGCACACACCGACATCCCACTCCCAGGAAGAAAGCAGGGTTCCACGTCAACCGTGTTGTTTGCACAGCTTGGACACAGTACACCACTCCTATCAGGGAATGGGAGAACCCTCCCCAAATGCAAGTTCCCAGGCACCAGTCGAGGGCCACCCTGCACGCAGGCCTTTCCCAGGACGGCCGCCTCAGGCCTGCTGCAGAAACTCCTCTCTGCACATGCTCCCAGCGGTGCCCCACTCAGCAGAGGGGTGGCTGCTCGGGCCCTGACCTACGCAGCTGAGCTGAGCACCGCCTACCAGCAGCCCCAGAGGCAAGAGCCAGCAGGGCAGTGAGGCCACTAGCCTTGGCCAGGAAGCAACACACTCTGCCTCCCAAGCTGCTGCTGTGTCAGCCACAGGGACTGCTCCAACGAGCCCTCTTACCTTCTACGTTGCTGTAGAAATGGCAGGAGCGGCTCGCCACCTTCCTGCGGCACAGATGGATCTGGAAGGGAAGGACTTGAGTCCCGGGGGAAGCCACGGCTGGGAAAGGGCTGGGAGAGCTAGGCCAGCCAATCGGCACACTCCAGCCAGTGCAGCCCAGAAGGTGGAGGTCGGCCCATTCCCCACTCTACCCCTAGCCCAGCCCAGCAGGCAGCACGGGGGGGAGCCTGAGCACCCCCCGAGGATGAGGATCGCAGCCCTGAAGCCCACCTGCATGTGGTTACTCTCCTGCTTCTTCACCTCAGGGTGAATGCACAGCTGCTCCCGGGAGCCCAGCACACACACCCGGGGCCTGACGGGAGAGAACCATGGAGTGAAGAGGGAAGAGGCACAGCCTCCGAGCACCAGGTGCCAGGCTTCCACAGCGTGGTCCCAGACTCTGGGCTGCATGGGGACCCCGGCGAGCACACGGGGAGTTTAAACTTTTACAGATGGTGGGCACGGGGCAGCCGAAGGAGCAGCGTGACTGGTGAGAGGGCTTTCTCTGCCGCGGTGGCCACTGAATCACCGCCAGTGTGGGCAAGGAGACGGGGCTCCTCCAGGACCTGTGGTCCCCATAGTCAATCACCAGCAGGGCAGGGGGGGCGCCAGCCCTTCTCCCACCACCGCATACAGCTCCCCCAGGAGTTGCCCCAAGGGTTCAGAGTCTGGGCCTGACCCACATCACAGCAGACACAGCAGCACCTGCAAGGAGCTTGGGGTACCCAGGGAAGGATGTGAACCCAAGATCAGCCTGTCAAACTCAAGCTGCTTCCTCACTAGCGGTGGGTGTGGGAGATACCTGACCCACCCCCAGCACAACATCAAAGCCCTGCTCCCCACGGGGCTGGCCTAGAATGACAAGGTCTGCACTTGTGCATCTGCTACAGGTGGCCAGTACAGTGTGGGGTCATTCTCCCAGTCACCCAGAGGCAGGTGTGGATGGTCACCAGACCCACCGGTAGGAGGTACTGCGAAGTTCGCCAATGACCTGCGTGAGCTGCGAGTGGGTCCTGGAAGCATAAATGATCTTTGGGATGTCCACGTAGGAAGCTGCCAAGGCACGAAAACACACAAGAGGGTGTGGTCAGTCAGTGACCTCACGGCCCTGACAGCATCCCTGCGCATCTGTTGAACGCAGGTGGCCATCGACCTGAGACGCTGACACCCAGACACCTGCCGACAGACACCGGGCAGGTGGGTGTCTGTGCTGGCTCTCTGGTGACACTAGGGTGGGAAAAATGCGAGGTGCTCTGCTCAAGGGGCTGTCGACACCCAGGTGGGCTCAGCGTGCCCTGCGCCACCCCTTCCTTCACCATCCCCACAGTAAGTCCAGAGACCACCAGGAAGAAGCATCACCTGGGGTGTCTCCAGCAGCGGCGCTCCCCCAGGATGACAAGGCCTGGTTGAGGAACAGCCCCCCTTGTGCCCGCTCAGCAATCTTGCGGGCAGAGATGGTGTCTCGAAGGTGCTCCCGCCAGGCCAGCGTGGTGCAGAGGAGACAAAGCGTCTTCCCCGTGCCCGTGGGGCTCTCCAGGATGCCATTCACTTTCTGGGCAGGGATGGGATAGAGGTTTCGGTGAAGCAGGGGGCCGTGTCAAAGAGGCCCTACATCCCACCCTGAGAGGAGCCCCTGTGACCAGACGCGTAGCTCAGACTGACTCTGCTCAGACGCACAGCCCACCCGCGTCAGGCAGAAAAGCCCCAGGGGACTCTGGGTAAGTTAATTCAGCCTTGTTAGCAAACAATTTGCAAAGCATTACCCAAATGTGCCAGTATTTTTCAGCCTAATATAAATACTGAGATGAGTAATAAGGTACCAAGCCTCAAAATAGAACATTGTTCTGCAATTCCAGGTTTAGGCGTTTACGCGGTCCCAGCTGAAAGGAACGGGATGGCCTACATACAAGCTCTCATAGCAGAGCCCTAACAGGAAGCCTGGGAGGCACCCGGCAAATTATGCAAAAGCCGCCCC